TTCTATGATTCTATGATTCTATGTGTTTTGTTTCTACCTTAAAGCTAGCATTCTTCTTTGGAGCAAAATCTTCTGTGCAGCAAACTACATCTCAACTAATCACTACAATGACTTCTTAAGAGAAACTAAAAGAGGTTTAAATTGCTTATTTAAAGAACGTGGTTGCTAACTCACAGTCCTTTGAAGTCTTCACAGTTCCTCAGGATCTGCAGTATATTCCTATGAGCCATTTTACCACCATTATAATTTTTGCAAGAGTCTTGAGGCACTGTTAAGGACAAACTGGTACAAAGGCTCCAAAAGGCACTTTTGTGCACATCTCTGGTCTTTGGTGAGTGCAGAAGGTGCTTCTCTCTGTACTGCTTTTTGGGAAGACAATTTTGCACCTCTTTCCCCACATGTCCCTTAATATGGTAGGACTTCAAGCATGTGCTCCAGGCCCATTAGCCTTACTAAGTAGAAGGACTGCTGGTTTTACTCCTTCCTTCACAATGCCCTTAAGAGGAAACAGGGAGTATATGTGGGACCAGACTCTCTTTCCACCTGGGGACAGGGAGACACAGGATCTGCCAAAGATACACTGCTGCCACAACTGAAAGAAAACTCAGATGCACACCTTCCTTTCACTCCTCCCAACTTGTGATTAAAATGGCCCTTTTGTTTTCCAAAAACAGCCAGTTCTCCTCTGCTGCCTTGTGCTGCCAGTTCGCTGCTCCAAGGAGAGGCAGCTGGCACCACTGCTAGCAGCAAGGAGGTGACTTGGGCAGAACTTGCCAACTTCCATAGCTGAATCTCATGCTTCCTCTTGGCCATCTGCTTTTCTCCAGCTTGAGAACCAGTACCCTGATATGAAGTATACTCAGAAAGTCTTAGAAAGCCCAACCTGATGCACTTTCTTCATCCAGACGGTGCAAATGCTCTGTTAAATCAAGTAGCATGAATGGGAAAATGTGTGAGGATGGGATTTGGTGTGGGGATTTCTGAAGTTTCAGTGTGGGGATTGCTGAGATTTTTCATTTAAGAAAGGCAGTGTCTAAAAAGCAAAAGTGTTACCAGTTTGCAACACAGTTCCCAATAATAAAGCCAGGAAACTATTCCCAGGGTAAGAAGGTTTTGGGAAAACTTGGTCATTATGTTCTACTGTGAGTTCATTAGTTATGCGTTTACAAAGGGACATCATATACATATAAATTCCATTTTACAATCAAGATTATGATTTGAACTAGACAAAGGCAAACAGTTGATTAGCATGGACATTCCCACCTTAATCTATATATCCATAACATTACTCTAACACTTTTGTGCTTTTTTTTTTTTCTTTTAATACGATCTCCTTAGAAGGCATATTATTCCTTAAACAAACTAACACAAGTTCTCAAGTTATCTCAGGATAGTTATTTCAAAAGACAATGCAATATTTCATAATAAACATTTATAATCCGTGTTTTAACAAAGTAATTCATCATATAAACAAATGAATCAGTCAGACACTAAATAAATATTTGTACTGCTAAATACTAGCATTTTGCTTATAACAGGTAGGACCTGATCCTGCAAGCCCTCTGTATATGTCTTTATCCCCACTGAATGACTGGTTTCATTTCTTGTTCTAATCTACTATTTTACTTTGAAATAAGCAAATAGTTTCTGGCCACTAAGTTAAATAATTGAAATAAGCACTGGAATACATTCCAGCATACAATGTTTTCCTTAGATGTCTTTGTACATATATTTTTTTCATGTTTATGAAATCATCACAAACATTTATCAAAAGGCATTTAGTTTTTGAAATTTACAATCTGAGTTGCACCAGTTTGTCAAGACTGATAAAAATAAACTGTATGTTCCTTGTTCTTGGCTTTCTTATTAAACAAGACATGATCTTTGCACTCAATTTAAAGAGTGGTTTCCATGAATTATTCCATAAGTAATACTGAATTTTACTTTCTCCAAATATCTGAGCTAACAATACTGGGCTAGGAAGGCAAGAGCCTCTAGGAGAATAACAAGCCAGGAGCTCCCCTTAGGGAAGAGAGACAAGCATGAATTACCTTCTGTCTGTGCTTATCCACCACAATCACTACCTTCTCCAAGGCAATGGGGATAGCCTTTTTTAACACATAGAAAAAGCTATGGCCACTTCTTTAACTCTGAGTTTATTCACTCCTTTTCAGGGATGTCTCTTATCTTGCATGGTAAATACAGAAGAGAAAACTGTAGATTGGAGACATAAGTGACCTACACACCCTACTTGTGCCTTAGGAAATTTATCAGGATATCTTCATACAATTAGACGTGTCAGTGAATTCAAATCTCGTAGATGTTTTTTGAAAGGAAACCCTGAAGAAATCAGTTACAGCTGAAAACTTGAGAAACTCAAATTTAATGATTGATTATTTTTTCTTGCCCACATCTATTTGAAATATAGTTTGAAATCAAGTATACTGAGGTTATTAGATGCATCCACTGTATTAATTTAAGTTTGGCTGAATTCTGTTGGATGCCTTTGAGCTTTTGCCACAGTATAATACGAAACATTCCAAGCATGTGGCAAAAATGACAATTGTAACAAATCACTTCCTGAACTGAAAAGAGGAACAAATTTTGAAATGACTCTCTGTCTGTATCTATAGGGATATACACACACGCACACACACATACACGCACATATATAACCCTATATAAACATTTTTCTAAAATACAGAAACTGATTTTATTATTTCTTATGTTGGTATTATTTTAAATACTTTACTCTGTGAATCTACAATATGACAACTTCAGGCTGTCCAGAGAGATAAATCTTAACACGGTTTTATAACCTCCACTAACATAAATATATTGGCAAGGAACTTTGACCAGCAATAGTAAATTTTTAAAATTAAATAATTATTCTACAATTATTTTAATTTTAACAATGAATTGCTACTGAGTACCATTATTCATGGAAAATGTAAAAAAAAAAAAAAAGATATAGCTTTAACTTCTGACACTCTGTATCAAGTGCTGCTTTATGAAAGGAATGTAAAAAAAAATATGTATAAGAAAAGAGAAAGAGCAACTTATATTACGTGTTTAAAAAAAAAAAAAAAAAAACTGAAATACTGTATGCCTGCGCTTTATCATAAATGGCCATGTTAAGTCATAGATTCTTCTTGCCTGCAAATGAAGGATGTTGGTTCACAAATCTTCTAAACTGTACATGAGCATTTGATTAAAGCCTGTTCATTGTGAAAATAAAGTTCATTTACACTTAAGAGTGTACAGCAATCAGGAGTTTGTTATTATAATAAGACATTTAAGGACCCTGGTAGCCAGTACCAGTTGTATTTCCAAGTAGCTCCTCAACTTTTGTGTTTTTTTTTTTGATTTTTTTTTTTTTAAATAAAGGTACAATCATAGTTTTTCATTTACTTTAAAAATTCTAAAGATGAAGAAAAGTAGCATTTATACATATAAGTCCTCATATAAATTACAAAACTCAAGTTTATCTTATAGAGTTCCATCCCCAGAAGAAGCATAAAGCACTTTTGTGGTACCTTCACCAGTAAATATTTGTATCACATCAAATCTGAGAAATGCATCAAAGATGATACTGCATCCCAAAGCCATTCTGATGCAGCCTTTTATGATGGATGTGCTCCATGGGATCATATGACTGCTGTGACTTGACTGAAATTCAAATGAAATATGAAGGAATTCACCTCACCAGTTCTGTAGGTATAAGAAACATCAGTGAAGAGCAGACTCATCACATTTGAGGTCAACAGTCTTTGGAAGACAACAAGAAGGGAGTTTAAAACTACAACAGCAAAATCAAATAATACTAACAATAATGAGGTAAACACCCCTGAAAAGGTCAGAAGGGCTGAGATGTCAGGAGAGTGTTCGATTGTACCTGACACCCAAATGTTTCTGTAGCCAGAGTTCAGCAAGCTGCATGGTAGAGGCAAATGTACTTGCTTTGGACCCTAAGCACATTTTATATTGTTTTGGATCTAAATTGGGGTCACACTGAACAGGATGAAAAATATGGACAACTCCTACTTCTTGACTTCTGAAAGCCTTCAAGCCAGATGTTATCACTTTAGTAAAGAGGTCAACATCCTCAAGTCCCCAGCCTTGAATTGAGGTATCAAATCCACCAGCGGTAAGTAGATCACTTTTGTAAATACAGGTAATTCCAAATCCATACTCTCTCCAAAATCCAGTTCTTTTTGTGAAAACAAAACTACTGTCAGCTGGAGGGTTGCCTTCATATATTAGTTTCGGATCATATTGGCTAAAGATGATAGGGTAGTAAACCTGTTCTCCCTGAATAGTGTTATCTCTGCATCGCTGGAGGAAGTCTGGTGTGAATACCAGATCAACATCACAGAACAGCAGCAAAGTATCATTGTCAAATTGAGCTGAGGCCATTTGAAGACCTAAACCTCTAGAAAACTTTCCTGCTATAGGAATCAGGGTCATATCTGCCATAGGATACTTAATGCTATATTCTTTCAATAGCCCTATGTGTTTGCTGGAGTCTTGGCCTGGTTCAGAATTGAAAAGAATTATTGCCAATTTTACATTCTGCCTGGGAATCAGACAAGTCTTCTCAAAGTTATCCATAAATCTTGAGAAAATGTCAAATCTTCCTGTGAGAGGGACAAGAATATGTATTTTCTTGTCATTGCGCCCCCCAATGTCTTTGGTGTGTTCAAACGATGAAGGAAAAATCTTTAAAGAATTTGAAAGAAAAGAGAAAGATTGAGTGTCAGTGTTGGCATCCTCCAGTAGGCTTCTTACATCGAGCTCCTCTGCTTCTTTGAAGAAAGGTTTGCTGAACGATTGCTGAAGGTAAGTGTGGCGTCTCACCGGAACTGTAACTTTCCTTCCTTTGTGCCTTTTGTACAAGAGCAGTAAATCCAGAATGTACTCCACTCCATGCAGAGGGTCTACCCTGCGGTAGCCATACTGTATTTCCTTGAAATCAATAAGCCTTCCTCTAGACCTAGAATTCTCATTTATCATTTCCATGACTTGCATCACGGTGTCATCCAGTGCAGCCCGCAGGATGCTGCTCAGGCTCTGCCGGGGTGGCTGGTTCTCCACCATCGAGTAAAGAAATTTTCCTGTGAGGAACTCCCACTCGATGACTTCATCCCGTTCACGTGGCTGGAAATGACTAAAAGATGGTAACACTCCTAGTTGCTGATCTTCCTTATTTACTTCACTGTTGCTGAGCTTGCTCATCAGGGCACTTTCTCTATGGAGTTGGATTGTCCTATAGCGCAGTTCAGAAATTTTGCAACTTAGTATGTAATTGTGCAGCCTGTATTGGTAGGCTGGTCTTTTGTTTGGATGAAGTGTTATGGCTGTCTGAATCTTGCTGTTGTGAAGATCTTGAATGTAACCCTTGCGGTTGTGTTCATAGTTTTCATGGAACAACTGCTGCATCTGGAGAGATAGAGAGAAATGAAAAAAGATTAAGTGGAAGTGCTTCTACCCCCCAAAGGACATACACTGCCACTGCTGTTCATTACCAATTCTTATAGGTCATGGCTATGTTAGGCACAAAGCATTAAACTATTCAGTAGGAATTATTTACAGGTTTTTTGTCTCAGTTTCTGTACTGTTCACAGTAAGCAAACATTCTCAACTAAACAGAAAGGCAGATACCTTGAGCTTTACTTCATCTAGCTACAAAACTAAAAGAAACATTTAACTGAAGGTCTGTAGGCAATACTTCTGAGTTCCTAGGTGCAGCCTGAACACTGCTATGCATGAAACATTAAAATGTTCACCCACTTCTAAATCCTTATTAGCACAGATTCTTACTGAAAGGCTAGCAATATTCATGATTCTTTTTTTTAAGAGGTCCTTGGATTTATGTCTATAGAGCACAAAGCTGATTGTATTTCCTACAGGCACACACAAATAGATAGTGCTAGTTAAAATTCAAAAACTGAATAGACAGCACTTCAACAAACTGGTTTTTTTTTCCATGTGGACAAAGAATTCAATGACTGAAATATAACCACTGGAATATGTGTCTTAGCAGGGATACATAGAACAGAAGATGTCAGTTAAGCTATAGATCATGCTAGTGTGACTCACCCTGAAAAACTTCCAATGTATTTCTGTGCCATGAAAAGACATTCTAGTTCTGCCAAATTAGCAATTGTAATATCTTCCAAATAGTGAAGAGATACATTTTATGGCTGAAACACAGGTCTGGGATTTAAAGGCCTTTATGCCTTTCTGTGCTATAGCTAAACAATGATCAAATCATAAAACTCTCTGTCTCAGTTTCCTTCACCAAAAGAAAACTTAACTCATTAATTTAATGGGATGAATGTTTATGCTTAAATGGGAAGTGATATGGAGGAGTAAAATATTAATATAATAAATGCATTTAAGACCCACCAGTCTTTGCTAAGCTGACACTTAACTCCAGAGAAACAACTATTTCTCATGAATAGCAGAAAAAGAAGAGGCTGTTCTTTTTAATCTGTAAACAGGCCGGTCTGTAATTAATACATAAGGATGGAAAATGTGCTAATTAGAAAATGTTGTTCAAGGAGGTGTTGCAAACGAGCTATGATCAGATTTTGAGATGGGTATTGACGTTTGTCTTTTATACTCTGAAGAAATCAAGAGAGGCAAGGTCTGATGACACAATGTCTCAGACTCAAAACATTTAGGTTATTCTATGTCAATTCTTTCTAGAACAGAGGTTTTGCTACTGGAAATAATATTAAGCACAGGGCAATAAATGCAAAGTATCTCCTAACGAAGCTCTGAAGAATGACGATTATTTTAAATCCACTAGCATTTATGAGAAATATATATTGTCATATTTAGAAAAACAGAACTTTAACAGAAAATTTCTACAAGCTCCCCCCAACACCACTGAGACCCCAAATTACTCTGCTTGAGCAGACATAGCTACTCCTATTAGTCAGGTCAGCATTTTTGAGGCTACAGTCATATAACACGGAGAAAGTCTAACTCTGTGAACTACCTTAAGCAATCTTAAATTTGACTTTAATAAAACAGATACATCTGAGAGTGAAAAAAGATATATATTTACAAAATTACTCATATAATTCTTTTTCACAGAACTCCTACCAAAGGCTGTCAGAGCACATTTGTTCTGGCTTGCGAGGGGAGTATTTTGCTTGTCGTATAAAACGAGATGCAAAGGGCCATGAAGGTTTGGGTGACTTTCTTGTTATCACAGGGAATAGGAAACAACACCATCAGTAGTGAGTCAGCATTTAACCAGCAGTGCTAGAAAAATCAAAATATGACTTCCTTGAGGACAAGAGATGTTCACTCTCAGACCAGGCAGATTAGAGATTAGGGACTGAATTAGAGAAAAGTACCTAGTAAAGGACTAGGTGAGGATATTCACTCTTTGGATGAATTATTGTCCCTTATCTCTAAAATTTACACTTTGAATAATGGAAGAAGACAAGCTGCTCCATTAGATTTCCATCTCTCCAGTTATAAATCACACTCTTTTCCTGACCCATTTTATTAAAAGCTGTCTACTGTATGTTTGTGTTGTGGTTTGAGGCTTGAAATGGGGGCATGACCTTCCAGCAACCGGGAGGACCCCGGGGGGGGGTTCCAGCAATTGGGAGGACCCCGGGTGGGGGGAAACCATTTTATTCCCTCCCCTTCCGACACACACTCTGACAAGAGGCAGGGAGTGGGTTCTAATTTCACTCCTGCCCTGGAGCTTGGAGAGGGAAGTTGTCCTTTCACTCCGTGGGACCCTGGAACCATTTCTGAGGGTTTTGTATATTTTATTTCTTGTATTTTTTTCCCCTAATCTTTGTATATATTATTTTCCTTACCTCCCTTTCTCATTTTCTGTTCCTTGTTAAACAATATACTTCATTTTTTTTTCAAAGTGTCTCTCTCTCTCTCTCTCTTGGGGGGGGAGAGGCGAGTACATAGTTCTGTTCCGTGTGGGTCCTGCCCTGAACCAGGACAGTTTACAAGATGACTGGGCTTTAGTATGCTCCACTTTTTCTGGAAAAAGTTGAATCTATGATTATCATATTTAGAATTTCACATTAAAATCCCCTTATAGGAAAATAAATAAAACATATAACATTGAATAGAAAAGAAAGGGGTTCTGAGTGGTATCAGCATCCTTCTCGACAAACTCTGACATTCCACTCTTTCATAAGCTCTCTAATCATAAAGAATCACTGGAGTTTTTCTTCATCCACAATGTAGAATGATATTTGAGTGTAACTCAGACAACCATTAACTACCTTAACACATTCAACTTATGGTACCTGATTTTCACAGTAAGTTTTATTTAAAGTATTATAATGTATTTTATCCAAAAGATTTTTAACAGATGACAAATTATCACTAAGTGCTCTCCTCCTGTCATGCAAGTTCTGCTGTAACCCTTGTTTTATTACAAGCTGAGCTTCATAGCAGATTCATTAGCATCACTCATTTAACAGGAATATCCTATTAACATAAATACTGCATTTTTATTACATTCCAATTTCAGATGCCTTGGTTTATTAGATATACCCCACTGAAATCAGAGTGAAAGGATGCACTCTATTATACTAATGATTTTGCTTCTGATAATCAACAACAGATTAACAGCAGTGATGAAAAAATTGAATCAACTCAGTAATGCAGTATTATCACTAATAAACAAAACTATACTAACTTTTTTAAAATAACATTACTGAACACTTTTAATATATCTCAATACAGAGAAAACAGTTCAGAACAAATATGACACTGAAATAATAAATTATTCCTGAAGACAACTGGTTTTAATCTTGCTGCCATACAGGAATTTCTTTTTAACATTGCAGGACAAAAATGTCTTTTTACAGCTCAAATTATTAACATATAGATGAAAACAATTCAATGTGGTCCTAACTTTGCTTTAAGATTTCTAAGCAAGGTGGTCAAACCTAGGAGGCAAAGGGAAAGATTTCCTGAAAGAATGGATCTGTGCAAGGGCCTCAATAGGTCAATGAAGTCATAAGCAATCTGGAAAAGGTGGGGATTTGGGAGGCAGTAAGATTTACTAATGTAAATTAAAATGACTCAGCATGGTAAACAAAACTGCCTGCATAAGTTTTCTTTTTTCTTTTTTTTTTCTTTTTATTTTTTTTTAATGGGAAGATAATAAAATGGCAGACTAAATTCTGTGTAGATAAATGCAAAGCACATGTGAAGAAGGCAATAATACTTGAAGAATATCACTGTGTGTAAGCTGTTAGCATTCTGGAAAGAGAACCTAGTTACACAATAGCTAATTCTGGGCAAATGTCATGTTGATGTTCAGTAGTGATGAAAGGAAAAGCAACTATCAGGAGGAAAATTCTAGAGTGAATCAGAGACATCATTATATGGTTGTGTCCATAGCGCACCTGAATCTTGAAGGCTGTAGGGAGGTACCTAGTCAATATCATGGTGTTTCATCTGGAACGGGTAACATATGAATAGAAAGGTACTAACCAAACCCCCCAGGTTATTACACGTGTGGATCATTAGATGAATAAATGACTAGGGCAAAAGGGAGTAATCCTAAGAGAGCTGACGCTGAGACCTATTGAGATAGTAGCACCAAAGGGAAATGGATACGCATACTCACTGTGTCTCCTCACATGAAGAACTATGGCACATGCAATGACACTCTCTAGATTCAAAACCAGAAAACTAAATATTGATGTAGCTGAACCACAGAACTTACTGGCACAGCAAGCTGCTGATGGTAAAATTTTGTGTGACTTCTATGTGTGAGCTAACAGCTTAGTGGGAGACTTGCATCATTGCCATGTTAAACACAGAGGTATGCTTTCTCCACAGCATTGCTGTACTGCAGATTCCTGGAGCCCCAGCTGAGGCTGTATCACAATATAGCTTTATTGTCTTATGCTCCTGTATCAGCTTCTTCTCATGGTTACTGCAGAGAGAGGATATTTTGTCAAATGAACATTTTGCCTGACACGATAATCACTCAACCTTCACTGAAAGCCAGGAGTAGGAGTTTTCTTCTATTCAGTATAATACGTGGAGGCACTGCATTTTATTTTTTTATATGACATGACTTTGTGACTTTCCTGAAGAGTTCACCATCTTCTGAACAATTCTTACAGCACAACTAAAACAAGAATTGGCAAGGACTTGCCAACAAGTTAGCTTGCCTCTTTTCACACCAGCTGAAACTAGAAGTTGGCAAGAAATGTGAATAATCTAATCACGCTCTGAGGAACGCTGAACTGCAAACAGGAATAAAAAAAAAATGAGAAGAAACAAACTAGAATAAAGGCAATACTTTATTATTGTGTCAGAGAAACAAAATAGCTAATACGTAAGCACATTTTAATTTTCATTGCAAGCTCTGAAATCATTGTAATCTCTGTGATTTACTGATACAATAAAAAAGCAAAGTTCTTATT